AACGCACCGGCTCACGGGCACGCGCACTTCCTCGTATTGCGCTGCAGCACGGTGATCGCTGAGTGAGCTACGACTGATTTAGACCTCTGGGGTGGCTGCGTCACCAGTGGGTGACCGTCCCCGTCTCCAGCTTTCACGCATGTACGTGCTGTTACCTCGTGTTTAATGCAGAAGAAGCAAATGAGATGCCGGGATTTTCTTCCATCACGGGTCCCATTTCTGCTGGGTTACTCAGGGTTTGTTTTTTCACTTCCATCTGTGATGAGCCCTGTTACACTTGAGCAAACAACGTATCTTTCACACACACACACACACTATAAATCAAAAACTAGCAGCATATAGTCATAATAAAACACAAACTGACATGATGAGTCAGCACACAACACGTACTCTCCTTTATAAAATTCCTCACTCAGTGCTCGTTTCCACTGGAGCAGCTGCTACATGCACACACTCATGTTGCAGTTTGAGTGCACGTATTTAACATGTAAGTGGTAACAATGGTTCATTGCTAAGCAGCCGTCTGAGCTTCATCGTTCAGGCCTTGCACTGCTCAGATCTCACGTCCTGGTGCTGTCCTCACCCTGCTCTCTTCTTTCCTTCCTCTTTTGACAGGCACATTTTTGCTTTGCTTGCTAAACACAATTAAAACGCAGCACTACCGGCAAACCTCTCCATAAGAGGAACATAGTTGAGGTGTGTGGGGTTGCAGCACAAATTAACAAGGAACAAGGTGCGGAAGTGTGATGGCATGCCACACACGGTAAGCTCCACACCTCACCACCAGTTGATTCACCTTAGTTTAATTTACAGTCACTACTTTAAAATATTCTACTTATTGTTCAATATTGTTTCTTTATTAACTTTATTTATTTTTCCATCACACCTTCCAATGTTTATATGGCGTGCACACATATTAACCTTGCACCTTAATTGTTTTGTATTAGTTGGTTATATGGCAGCCATCTTGTTTTCCCCCATGTGTGTCATTTGGTTTAGCTAAACCAGTATTTAAGTTCCCCCTGTGTCATTTCAGCAGGTCAGTTTATCGCATGTTTGTTTGAGGTTTTGTTAATTACTATCTTGAGTTTAGTCTATTGAGTTGACCTCTTTTATTGGTCTGCCTGTTTAAGTTTTGGCTTTGTTAAATATATTTTTGGGTCAATAAAACCCCTTTTTTGAATTAAAACACCTGTGTCCTTTATGCTTTACTGCTTGGTCCCTGACAGGAAGTATAAGTGATACATTTCCCAGCATGCTCCTCTGCTACCAAAACATTTCTGATAAAGTGACTGTTTTAGTAGAGTGTGAGTGGAGAGTTTGCACTGACAATTCATCCCATAAGGAAAATGTATATGGCATACCATGATTCAATCATTTAAATCATGTTTTAATCAAAATTCTAGTGTTATAGTAACGTTACTATAACACTAGAATTTTGAGATTCAAGTAAAATGTAAAGAAAATGCACCTTGAAAAATGATTTTCACTGGACCCTTCCTACCCTCAAAGTCATTTAGTGTTAGCTTGGCTGTCCTGTCAGACATTACACTTTTTAAAATTTGTGTGCAACTTTCCATAAAAGCAGTGGGCAGAGAGGAGTTTTCAGATTAACGAGCACCATCAACTATTAAATATTTCCTAGTGTGTTGTCAGACTAATTTGACCGGTCAAATGTTCTCACACATTGCGGACCTCTTTCTCTTTGATGGGCACAAACTTACAGGGGGTTTATTCTTCTGTGTTAAACCTTCCACAAACCCTATACCTAAACACACACCCCTTTTGAAATGCTGTGACAAAACCTGCAGCTTAACCTGCGATGCATCTCCATGGAAATTTCACGCTGCACTCGGCAACTAGCCTGCTCAGCACCATCAATCAGTACCGTCTATGGTGACACAATGCCAGCCATAGCTTTAATATAAGGACGCACAGCTGTCAGATAAGCAGAGCGGTGAATAAAGAGAAAAAGTCTCATAATTGTACTTGTTTCTATTGTCACTG